GAAAACTGAGAGAGTTTGTGAATTCTGTCTTAGGGGTTTGACATTGACTTCGGGATGTTCCGCTGCCTTTTCAGCTACCATCCTGTTGATTTCAATGCCAAAGAATTCGTTGAGGAGCCAGAAACTAATGTGGATTTACTTAACAGGCTGTGTCACAAATCCCTTGATGACTACAATCAAGAAAACGTGAGATGATAATAATAATCAATGCTTCTGCTTTTTTATGTTTGTGATTCTTACAATCTAACATGGGTTTTGTCTTTGGTTTCCTACAGAATACAGAATATGAGTTTGTGAAGCCTCTTTATGCCAATTTTCACATGTCTGCTGGGGTAATGTTTCTCATAACATTCCAAGCGATGGATCCTGCTGATGATGATAACCTCACAAAAGAGTTCCAGGCTAGGGTTCATTACTCTTTCTTTGACGAGAGCAACTTTGTCTTCTGCAGACCCAAATCACCTGTTCAACAAGGTACTCTTTTCTTTTCCATAAATTGGCCAGCTTTTGGAATCCATCATAGGGTCATAGCAAAACCATACGAAACAATGTTTATGTTTCAATATGTTGGCCAGCCTTTTAGGGTCATAGCAGAAGCATACGAAACGATTCTGTCTGGAGTTTATTAACCACTTTCTCTCTTTGTTAATTTGTTTTCAAACTGGTTCTTCTTTGAGACTTATGGTATATTTGATTGTCTTGGCAGTTTCGACTGACGAAGATAGCTTAGTTTCGATTGACGAAGATAGCGTTGTTTCGACTGACGAAGATAGTGTTGGAGATGCTGAGAAAGACCCTGAGAAACCAAGGTATATATATCTATCTATCCAAACTTGGATCCATCTTTTCCTTAATGTTTGATGTGAGAATCTTAGATGTTCCTTTGATATTGCAGACTGGAATAGGAGCTTTTATGGATGAAAGTCTTTGGATCTGCTTGTGGCAAACTTACTATCTCTAAATTATGACTTGGCTACTCTTAGTTTACTATCTATAAATTGTTGTTTTCTAGTAAGTTAAGCTACTCTTTTTAAGTTAAGCCAACTGTGTAGAACTTACTATCTTTAAATTATGATTTGGCTACTCTTAGTTATATTGTATTGACTATCTCTACAATTGTTGATTTCTAGTAAGCTAAAGGCTAACTATGTCGATTAATGGCTAGGATGTTAGCAAGTTAGCAAGCTAGGATGCTAAATTAACTTCGTAAAAAATCATGCATTTTCCCACGAAATTATATATATATGTTAATCCATTGGTTTGATTTTGATAACAATCTTTAGTTTTGGAATTGATATGTTTCTTCAAGTAAATAAAGGGGTCGGTAATCTTTGAGGGAGTAGGCTCATTTTAAGGGTCTAGCTAAGACTATTTGGTTTCAAAGCATTAGGAGATGGTTAATTGTTTAGGGTGAAAGAAATGAAAGCCATATTAAGCTATATATGGAGATGATTAACGTTGCGCAAATAGTTATGAGAGAAAGAATAACAAACACTCGAAGAGAAGTATCTAACTACATAAGCTAAGAGGGAGAGAAACAAACACTCAAAGAGAAATATCTAACTACATAAGCTAAGAGGGAGAGAAACAAACACTCAGAGAAATATCCAACTACATAAGCTAAGAGGGAGAGAATCAAACACTCATAGAGAAATATCTAACTACATAAGCTTAGTAGCATAATAAAACAAGCGAACATCTCGTTAATGTTTAAGTCTTGGAGAGGATAAGTGGTAGTCTTTTTTTGTCACGGAGAAGTGGTGTTACTCTTCATCCTCGTACTCGTCGAGGAGCTGCATTATATAAACAAAACCAACAAAATTTTGAATAAAGTGTCTAAACACAGATTATAAATTGAAACACTAACATGTACTTACCACGGGATAAATAACGTATTTAATCAAAGATTACCACGGGATAAATAACGTATTTAATCAAAGATGGCTTTCCTTTGCCGCGGCTAATTTTTCGGATTATCTTTCCGAATCCCATGTTTCCCCAATTAGGCCAGCTGAGTTTTGAACTTTAAAGTAGTGTACACCGTTAAGTGTTCCATAGCCGGAACATAGGAGCATATGGTAGCCAAGATCGGGTGTATCCTCCCCATGACCTTCATAGATACCGTCCTGTTTCACAAACTCAAACAGTATTAGATTTAAATCAAAAGATATTTGTAGACTTTGGATTGTAAACTATTAACTAGCGTTGG